CAGACCTCCAAGAGGACTGTCTAGGAGCTGGCTGGGTGGAAGACACCTGTGCAGACCTCCAAGAGGACTGTCTAGGAGCTGCTGGGCGGGAGACACCTGCGCAGACATCTAAGTGAAGTCTAGGATGCTGCTGCCTTAACACCAGAGACTTTTTTTTTTTTTTTTTTTTTGATGGTATCGGGGATTGAACTCAGAACCTTGTGCTTGCCAGGAAAGTACTTATTCCATTGAGCTGTCTCCCCAGCCCACATCAGAGACTTATGCTAAGGGAACGTCATAAGATACAGAGCACAACACTCTACAGCCTGGATGAGATGCCAGGGCAGACAGCACACAGAGGTAGGGAATGGCCGGTGCTTTAGATTTGCAGACAGGTGGTAGTGCGGCAAAGGAGGAGCAGGCTGTGAGAGGCCTGCTGTGACAGTCACTCAACTGGCATTTCAAGGTAGGTAAGAGAAGCCACTGCTGAGACCACAAGAGGCGAAGACCACTTTTCTGGCTCTGAGGCTCAGGTGAGCCTGGCAACGGACAGTGCCACCGATGGTAGATCCTGACTAGAATGCTCAGGAAGGAGGAGTCCGAGGATGTAGGCTGGTTCTCAATGAGCTTTGCTAGGAAGGGAAACTGGAGGCTGAAAGCGGCCTCTGCCGAGAGCCTAGTGTCAAGGGAGGCAGAGACAGTTTTCATAAGAGAATACAGCAGCGAAAATGTCTGCCGACAGCAATAGCTCATCGAGGAAGGCGTCTATCCATGACAGAGAGGGGTGGCACTCGTTCACTGCTGCTGGGGAGGAGTGGGGGGGCGTGTCCTTCCTGTGCAGCATATGCAGGTTGCAAACAGGCTTTTCCTGTCACGAAATGCTACCAAGGCCAGAGGCATGGTGATAAGGCGGCTGTGTGTGCACACACACATGCATGTGTGTGCACAGGAAGGCTGGCACGTGGGTGAGTTGCTGGCACATGGCAAGAGAAGCATGGCAAAACAGATGTAGAGAGGGCAGGATTCCCCCCCCCTCGTGTGGAGGATTCCTCTGTGAACTGGGGGAGGAACTTCAGGGGCAGCTGGCAGAGTGGAAGCGAGGTGCCGCTTACCACAGGCAGCGCTCCAGTGCCCAGACAGATGCCCAGGATGGAGGCAGAGGAAGATGCACATCTGCAGCAGAGCGCTGGTACCTGAGAGCACCAAGTGGGCTCAGCGCATGCGGACAAACGATGCGAGGTAGTGATTGGAGCAGGAGGTTGGCATGGGCTACAGAGATGCAGATGTGGTTAGGGATTCAAGACAGGAAATGGGACTCTAGGGCCAAAGGTCTCAAAAGCCCAGCAAGGTAGGAGCCCGCAGGGTGTGGTGGTGTGGGCACTCCTTGGGTGCAGGAGTCCGCTTTGCTCACATGCGGTCTCTGGACTTCCACCACAACCTGCCTCGAGGGAGGCCAACAGTGAGTACTGAATGAGTGAAAGAACACAAGCGGTGCAGGAAACGGGGGGGGGGGGAGCGGGCAAACCTCTTTCAAGTTGCGTGGAGGCATGAAATATGAAACACAACACAGCTTGGAAGCACAGGGCTCAGCTGGAGGAAGAAGGGGATCTCTGGATGCCCCAAAGCGGGAAAGATCAACACGGTCATGACCAAGAGCCAAGGGTTAGCTGTTCTTGGAAGGGTGAGGACCTGGGCTCAGGTTCCCATGCGTGCCGGTGGATGGCATGTGGGATAGGTAGGGGTAGGGAGTTGTCACTGAGACCCCATAGTAAGCCTAGGATCCTAAGAGCTGCTTCACCTGAGAATGGGGACAGGGAGAACCCTCCAGCTGCAGCAGGCAGCGCCAGACCCATGCCAGGGTTGTGCAGTAATTTCAAGGTAGAAAGTTAACGTCGGGTGAATGCTGAGGCATGGAGAGAAAAGGTGAAACTTACGCAGAAGCCCGGGGACCCACGCCTCCCTGCTGAAGACATCACCGTGTAAAAGAAACCACACTTCTGCTGCCTTCCTGGAGAACACACTCCCCAGGTTGCCCTGGCCTTTCCCAAATGGGGTCACACTGAAGATGGGATCGGCCCATTTCTACCTGGGTTTTTGCCCAGTCTCAGACACGCTGCTCTGGAAAACCAGCAAGCAAGGGGGAGGAAGCACACCTTGTCCACGCGGAGCCCGGCCAAGGATCCCAGCCCTTCCCTGCTGTCCAGCACCCAGCCGAGGTGGCCCTCTCTGCCACTGGCTACCACCTCTCCTGCAGATGATGGTGGTGCTCCTGACGCCTGAAACACTTAGTCCTCTCTCACTCTGCGCCAGTGCTGGCGACGCAAGAAGCTAGCAGGGATGCCAGATGCACAGCTGTCAGCGGCCCCATTGGCCCAGCCTGGCGACATGGCTCAAGGTGGCTCCTACCAGAGGTCTCAAATTCCTGCCAGCCACCGGCTAGTCCCTGGTCCACGGGTCAGTCTCAAGGGCATCTTCTGCAGCAGTTAATCTCAACATGCACACCCAGCATGCGCACTCGTTCAGGTACCATGACCAAGTTAGCAAGTTCTCCCCTAGATCGCGAGACCAACACTGGGAAAGAGAAGACATCCCCAGAGCAGTGGCTCACCTGCAAGTGGCTCTGCAAGGACAGTTCTGCCACACAGAGAGGCACTCACATGATGCGCCTTCTTCAACAGCTAATTATCTCGAATGGTGAGTGCAGTGAAATTTCAAACACGGAGCAAGGCTGGTTTGGTCCATGCTGATTTATGAGTGGCCACGCGCTTGTTCTGAGAGGAGTGAGCCTCAGCTCTGTGGACAGGACCTTCAATCATCACATCGCTGTGTGGCCATCAGTCTCAATGGTGGCTGCTTCTGTGCATTGGTGGCCTCAGCGATCGTGGAGTGTGTGGTCAAGAACCCACACAGCCACAGGTGGGCATGACAGGGCTGAGGACTGTCAACCACCTCATGAGCACTCCCTCATTTACACCTTTGCCTGTCCCCACTGACGCCTGGGAAGAAGTCTTTCCCGACCACTCGCATCAACTCAGCACCCGAGAACCAGCTGAAAATGTAAGGTGTGTTTTCTGAAAGCCTCTGCTTTGCCTCTTGCCCTGACCTTTCTAGGCAAGACACCAGACTGGATCTCAAAGGCCACCCCAGACTTTACGTCTGCAGCACCCTTAGCCAGAATCTTCAACAACAGGAGGACCCAGCACACCAACGACCACTCCTGCAGAAGGACCATCAGCACGGTGTCCATGCAATCAACCCTGGGCCACCTGGCCCCGAGACACCATCAGAATAGGACACAGCCGTGGACGCACACGTGAGCGTGCCTCACGCTACTCACCGACCCAGTCCCGCTCTGCAGGATCTTCAGCCCAGATGTCTCCTCCAGCTGGTTCTTGTGGTCAGCTGTTTGGAAAAATGAAGAAGCAGAGGGTCAGTGCGGGGAGGAAGCAGGCCTCCAGACAAAATTGAACATGTGCCCCAAACAGGAAGCCGCTGCCCGCTGGGCTGCTTCAGCAGGGCTGTCCTGGTGCCAAGCGCCTGGTGTCCGGCCCAGCCCTGGTCCTGCCTTGGGCCACTGTGCTCGCTCGGCCTTGGCCACAAGATGAGGCTTCAGCAGGCCTGGTGAGGAAGTGCGGGTGAAGGTGCTTTGCAAGCTGTAAAGTCCCACTTTAGAGTGATGTGGCGACAGTCATCATCCAGGCCCTGGGAAACAGCCTCTGATACAAGTTGAAGAAAGACACCCTGGAGGCAGAGCTGGAGTCCGCGTCCCTTTACTCCCGCCCCTGCCGGAGGCCAGGATTTAGCTCCGGTAAAAGCTTCGCCCCTGTTCGCTACTGACTTTGAATGGAGAAACTCCCAGAAAACAATCGCTGCTCAGCGGCACCCCGTGCAAGCGCACTCCTGGGTGGAGGCGGCAGGCCACCCCCAACCTCACGCACGTCGGGGCCCTGGCCCCAGCGCGCCCCGTCCGCGTGCCATTCTGGATAAAGTCGCTTTGGACGAGACAGCCAGAAAACGTCGGATCTAACTGCGAGCCCCGCCAATGAAGAGCGCACGCAGCTGTGTCTGACGGAAGGAGAAGGCGAGGAAGCGGCCTTGCTGTCACCTGCCTGCTTTACCCTCGGGTAATGAGATACCTATCTGTGAGAGGGGTACAAACGGACCGGCCCAGGCGGGCACCCCAAGTCTTCCCTTTGAACCGCAGGCAGTATTTTGCCACAGACCTAAGTGGGGCTGTACTGAGGCCCAAAGCCGTGTAGGTTGAACAAAGGCTGGCGCGCCTCGAGGGAGCAGAGACGGCCAGGTGCAAACCGAGAATAGCAAAGAGAGTATTTTTAAAGACACAGAGCATAAAGCATCCTTTTAATGTTCTCTGGAAAACAAAGGAAACATTTTACTGAACGGCAAGCTATTTGGTGCTGGGACAACAGCGAACTCTGTCGCGCAGGTTGAGGAACAGAAGAGCATAAAAATGGAATTACAAGGGTGGCGGTCTCTGCAAGGGAGCGGTGAGATTCCACTGTCGGTGGGAACGAGAAAGACCTCCCATCAGTAGCCAAGCAGAACGGCCCACCCAGGGCTCGGCAAGCCTTTCCTAGAAGGGCCAGCGTGGGTGTCCCGCCCCGCCCCCTGCCCCTGGTGCCTCTGCCCAGCCGAGCGGAAGGCTGAGGCACATGGCACGGGGCGAGGCGCGCTCTAGAGGGCCGTCCTGTGTTCTGCAGAACGACCCCCGCAGGAGACAGTGCCTTCCAACAAGACATAGAGCTGGGCCAGAGCTGGGAGGCGCGGCTGCTGCGCACAGCTGTGTGCAAGCCCCTCTTGCCGAGCTGGGGCGGCTCCGTGCCGCTGGACCTCGGGGAGAGGCTCGGCTCTGTGCTCTGGAGCTCTGAGGACACGCTCTGGGGACGCGTGCCAGAGCGCGCTCACCTGCAGTCTTAGTTACTTTTTTCACTGCTGAGACAAAATACCGCTGCCCGAAGTTTAATCGGGAAATTGTCTATTCAGCTCTCAGTCTGTAGAGGTTGCAGTCCATACTCAGCTGGCTCCTGGGCCCCATCGCCTCTCAGAGACCAGTTCCTGGTGCCCAAAAGACAGCAAAAGCAGCCAAGGAGAGATACAAGTCTGTGTGTGTGTGTGTGTGTGTGTGTGTGTGTGTCTGTCTGTCTGTCTGTCTGTCTGTCTGTCTGTCTGTCTGTCTTTGGGAACAGGGTCTTGCTATGCAGTTCAGGCCTCGCTGTGCTCACTTGGTAGTTCAGGCTGTCTTGAACTCTTGATGATCCTCCGGCCTCAGCCTGCTGAGTGAGTGCTAGGATTATAGGCCCGGGACACCATGCCCAGCTCTGTCTCTTACATTGTATGCAGGCTAGGGTGGTGTAGCACTGCCCCTAATAGCCAGAACTATGCCAAACCATCAGAGGAGTAATTTACCAATCATACCCCCTCAATCCCAGTGTCACCCACTCGAGATCCAGCCACCTTTGAGAAAGCCCTATGACTGCATAAGGCTTTGAGAGGACATCAAGACACAAGCTGCTTATTCCCAAGCTGCCTAATGGGTGATCTGCGGTGGGTCTGAGGGGCTTTACTTGGCTGCTCACATCATCCTGAGTGACCCCAGAGCCTGGTGTGACCAGCGGCACACACCTTCTCCACCCACAGCCCACAGAGCCTGCGGACGGGCTGCCCCTGAGTCCTGCTGCACATACCCCCTGGCTGGCCAAGGAGGTGCCCAGCCATTCCTGCTTATTTGTCAACCATGGCGACACCACAGTGCTGGGGCTTTGCTGATGGACACCAAGGGGTGGAAGAAGAAAATCCTGTCCAGTAAATGTTCACAGTTCAGTTCCAAGTTATTTTTTTAGCCAAATTCTGGAGGCTTGATAGGGGTGTGAGCGGAGGCCAGCGGAGGCCAGCGGAGGCCAGCAGCGGAGGCCAGGATGGGACAGCCAGCCAGGCCCTGTCTCCAGGAAGGCAGAAATGGTGTGGGCCGCCCATTGTTACCTTCCCAGGAGACAAAAAGGCCTTCTACACACAAAAAAGTCTTTTAAAATTAAATTCACTAGATGAAGGATATGCAAATTACCTGAAGAAGCGGAACCCTGTAATGTTCTCAAAATTCTGCAATAGCCTATTTAATTAGTATTTTAATTTATCAGAATAATTCTTGGCACTTGACAATTTATGCAGCATTCCATATAATTAAGCACGCAGCTCAGCGGAGGGGCTTGCCTCCCCTCTCTGTCCCCCTCTTCGAACCTGAGGGAGTGTGTGGAGGCCGCCTCTGCGATCTAAATGACAATGGAGCGGCTTAATGGCTTTGCTCCTTCAGAGCGGCAGTATGCAGTCCCAGGCTGGCTGGTCACCTGGCTGCCCCTGGACAGCTGGTCACACACGCGCCTGCTCATCTCCATACTGCGAGTCTGGGCAGCAGCCAGTCCTCACCTGGATGATTTGGGGACCCCAAAAGACCCGCCAGCCCCTGCTTTGGCATCAGCTCCAGTCAGGCTCCCTTTTCCCTGGTGTGCAGAGGCTGCCCACGGCCTGAACAGGCAGCCTTGCCAAGGAGAGAGGGACCAAGGTGGGGGCTGATGCAGTGCCTGGGGCCCACATCAGGTCTGTGATGTCCCCTCCCAAGTCCCACGGCTAGTCTCCTCCCCACCCAGGCCACTGGGTCTGGCTAAATCTTGGCCTGCACCTCTGCAGGAAGGCGGGCACCACACACACACTGCCTTCCCCAGGCATAGTCTGGCCTTGTGCTAACCGACAGAGCTTGTCAGACTTATCTACCCCTCTGTCTGCCTGCCTATGCACCCATGTCTCTCTCTCTCTCTCTCTCTCTCTCTCTCTCTCTCT